TACCATACTCTATATTCAAAGGTTAAAAAGTTATGGAAGATTTAATTTTTTTAAAAAACAACCTAGATTACAGAGTAAAATAGTTGAGATAAAAAAAAGTTGGTGATTAAACATTCTTTTTTGGTGGTTTCAGGTTATTATTTAAATAAATAATTCTCATAAATTAAAAAACATATGAAAACACTACTGAAAACGTATTTATTTTCATTTAAATGTTAAATGAAAATTTTTATTTTCAACTTTCACATTAAGAAGTTTTTTTTTTCCAAAAAAATCATAATAAAGAAAATGTACAAATAACTGCAAAAACTTCCTCGTTTCATTAGGTTTATAAAATGGTATAATAACATATTAGTAAGTAAACCATTTAACAAAACAATATTACTTTGCTAGAAAGGACCGCTAAGCGCATTTCATTGTACTGAGCAGGTAAACCGAGCCTTTTATGGTTCGACCCTTTTTGTTATTTTTCCATTACACACCGGTTCAAGTATTAGAAGAAGGAGATCCCGCAAGAAGAATTGATTTTTGTCGATACAAGCTTCATCGGGATCAAGAAGACAACGACTATTTAACTAAAATATTGTGGACCGACGAGTCTAAGTTTGACAGAGAGGGGACAACAAATTATCACAACTTACACTATTGGGCCCCACGAGAGGCAAATCCCCACATGGCAAAGCCAAGAGCCCATCAAAGAAGATTTTCGGCAAACGTGTGGGTGGGAATCATTCATATCTACGTATCTAATTGGACCAGTTTTTTTGCCTGACAACCTGAATGGCGAATCCTATGAAAACTTTTTGAGATCCGAACTCTGGGAGTATCTCGAAGACCTGCCTCTGAATATCAGGATGCAGATGATCTACCAACACGATGGCTGTCCCGCGCATTTCCGTCTGGGTGTTAGACAGTGGCTGGACGAGAAATATCCTTGTCGCTGTATTGGTCGAGGTGGACCGACACCGTGGCCAGCGAGGAACCCAGATTTAACACCGTGTGACTATTATTTATGGGGGCACATGAAGTCACTGGTGTACGCTGAGCCCATAGACACTCTTGCACAGTTGAAAGAAAGAATTATTGCTGCTGCTGACACTATCAGATGACAACTAACTGGCTGCATCACGCGTACCAATATGAGAAAAGACTACGGGCTTGCATAAGAAACGGCGGGCGTCAGTTCGAACAACAATTGCAATGAATTTTACCTTCATTTCATTATTGTATTTTACTTACCAATTGTAGTAACTTTTAGTCAGTTTTTATTATTCTGTAGTACAATTACAACTGTGTAAATAATCTAATCGTGTAACTTAACCGTAGTTTAAAATAATAACTATCCCATAGCTTACAGTTACATTATTTTCACAAAAACACTTTCTTATCAATCAGAGAGTTGTGAAAATAGGAGACAAGCCATTGGTAAATTTACTCCCTATTGTTGTGTTACAATACATTATGTTTAGTTTCACACAGTTTTTGTGCACTTATCATACCAATTTAGATTCCTTATGAAACAAGGATATTATTTAAATTGTTTGTACGTTTTTTTGTATACTGATTTTTTTGTAAAACACCTTACTTACTGTAAAACGTTATTTGTTTTTCTTAGTTAAACATTTTTGAATAAAAATAAATACGTTGTTTGGTATTGTTTTCGAATCTTTTTTAATTTATAATAGTTAATTATTGAAATAATTACCCAAAACCACAAAAAACAAATGTTTAATCGCCAACTTTTTTCTCTCTCGACTTTTTTACTCTGAAATATGGATTGTTTTTAAAAAAATCTTAAATCTTCAATAACTTTTCAACCTTTGAATATAGGTTATGGTATTATATACTAATTTCGATAGCAAAGGGTCTGTACTATCACCTCCTAAAATGTTTTACACCTATTTACCTGTCACCCTGTATATAAAGATACAGTAAAATAATAAAAATAATTATAAAAGGTACTCACGTATAAAGCACATATTAAATTTAGAATCCAAGAACTCTTGGTATGAATAAAAAGCATTTTCAGCGAGGAAACTGCTTATCGTTTCTTTAAAGGCGATTAGATTTAAGGACGTGATTTGCAGTGGTAATTTATTATAGTAGTTAGGTGCTGTGATTTTTAAACTTTTCTGACTTTTTGTCAGTGTACTTCAGTGAAAACAATATCTTAATTTTCCGCCTTTGTAAAGAGAACAGTCGATGCCAATCTGCACCCTGACCCCAAACTAAGATAGCTTATGATATCAAAGAGTGGCATAGAGCAAAATAAACTGACTTCAATGTTTCACAATTCAACTCATAAGGTAAGCTTTTGATCAAATAAATGTTTTTTTCTTAGCTTTTTTGCTGTTTCATCGATGTCCCATTTCATTTTTTTATATACAGGGTGTTTCAGTTTATTGTTGCATAACTTTAAGATTCGATAGAACTTTTAAAATTAATGCATAAAGTCTATATAAACATGGGTCGAAAAATGCGTGGCTTCCGAAATACAGGGTGTTTAAATTTAATTTCTAAAATAGTTTTTTTAATATTTCGAACAATATTTGATGTATATCAGTGAAAATCGGTATACAAGGTTTTTTTGGTACGACAAAACGAACCATGGGCATAGTTTTACTGTAGCCGCTAGAGGACGCTCTCTACTGTACCTGTAGTGTATTAAAATGACCGACAAAATTTTCTTAGTGCAATTTTTTGCTTTTTGAATAAAAAAACTGATTCTTCACACTTTTCTCCATAAAAAAGCTCACCTGTGAGTTTTAGTTATAGTTAGCCGTTTTTGAGATATTTCGATTTTTAAGGTTCGATGCATTTTTAATTATTTATGATAAAATAACGTTAAAAAGTCAGTATCTCGATAATTTTTAGAAGTAGGCTGCGCCTGCAAATATTTTTGAAATTGAAAGCAGAATAAGGTTAAACGTCAATTAGTTGACAGTTAATTTTGTTGTCTGTTGAAACTGTTTTTTACAACTGTGAATGCACGAAATTTAGTTTCTTTTACCTGTGTTTTTTTTTGAAAGTTTTATAAAAATGCCATTTTTATTCTCCAATCAAGACTTAGCGGATATTCATTTGTGTATGGCTTTGTAAATGGAAACGCAGCAGAAGCAGCTAGAGAATACGCACGAAGATTTCCAAACAGACGACATCCAACTCGCTCAGTATTTGTAAGAATGCATCGCCAAATAATTGAAAATGGTTTTGGAAATCTCAAAAGGGATCAAAACATAAATGTTCTTCAGCGCAGATTTACCCGTATGATTCTACGTGAGTTTGATAGAGATCCGACCACAAGTGTTAGGATTGTTTCTGGTGACTTGGGAATTTCAGCAAGCCATGTTCACCGTGTTCTTAGAAATGACCATAGACGTCCTTACCATTTGCAACCTGTGCAAGGACTACGGCCAAGGGACGGAGAACGAAGAATCACATTTTGTCAGTGGATTCTTGATAGAACAGATAATAATAGGGAGTTTTTAAGTAACGTGTTATGGACCGATGTAGTTCGGGAAAGAAATTTTCAGCATGAATTTAGTGTGAACGTGTGGATTGGTATCTACCGTAATCGACTATTTGGACCCTACCTTTTGCCTACAAGGTTAAATGCTGCGACCTTCTTGGAATTTTTAAAGGCTGAACATGCAAATATGTGGGATGATGTTATGTTAGATTTAAGAAGATTGGCCTGGTTCCAGCTTGATGGTTGTCCAGCTCATTATTCGAGAATAGTTAGAAACTGGATGGACGAAAATTATCCAGAAAGATGGATCGGCCGTGGAGGACCAGCCGCCTGGCCTCCACGATCCCCTGACCTAAATCCATTAGATTTCTTTGTGTGGGGATTTCTAAAAGAAAAAGTGTACCAGACTCCCGTAACCGCAAGAGATATGCTAATAAACAGAATCAGGAATGCATGTGATGAAATAAGGCCTTATTTGAATAATATACCACGTTCGATCATTCGTAGATGTGAATTGTGTATTGAACAATTGGGTTTACATTTCGAGCAACTACTTTAGATTTTGTATGTTTGTCCTAACTATCCAATAGCATTTTAGTTGTAAGTAATTAATTTAATTTGTTAAAAATAATATTGAAAATTAAACAAATTAATATTCTGTTCTTTTGTGTTTATTTGGAGTTAGGAATTATTGCTGTGTTTAAAAACACAATCTAACCGATCATCTTAATTACTTGTAATGCCCAAATCGAAAATGTAAAAAAAAATATTATTTTCCCATAAATAATTAAAAATGCATGGAACCTTAAAAATCGAAATATCTCAAAAACGGCTAACTATAACGAAAACTCACAGGTGAGCTTTTTTATGGAGAAAAGTGTGAAGAATCAGTTTTTTTATTCAAAAAGCAAAAAATTGCACTAAGAAAATTTTTTCGGTCATTTTAATACACTACAGGTACAGTAGAGAGCGTCCTCTAGCGGCTACAGTAAAACTATGCCCATGGTTCGTTTTGTCGTGCCAAAAAACAATTGTATACCAATTTTCACTGTTATACATCAAATATTGTTCGAAATATTTAAAAAAAAACTATTTTAAAAAGTAAATTTAAACACCCTGTATTTCGGAAGCCACGCATTTTTCGACCCATGTTTATATAGACTTTATGCATTAATTTTAAAAGTTCTATCGAATCTTAAAGTTATGCAACAATAAACTGAAACACCCTGTATACTCAGAAACTGTATGTTCTGTATGTTGTGATCCATCTGTCAATGCAAATATCATATTTACTGTTTTGTTTCCGTTCAGGGTCAGTTTATTTGCATCACAGCAGTCTTTGGTAGTCGACTGTATAATCGCAGCCTTCTCAGGAAGGCCAGAAATATTTTTAGGTCTAACAGAGATCGTAGTATCATCAGCAAATGGTATATAGGTATATAGTTTTCATCTTTATGGTTCAGCAAATCATTGATGTATATAAAATACGTACTGTCCCTGCACAAATAGAACTTTATCTCACGTTACTTACCTTTCTGCTTAAGCTGTCTACGAGTATCTGTCATGAGTAGCGCATGTCCGTTGTGTATAGGATTCCTCAACTGAAACGCGAACACTGCATCAGCGCCCAACTGCCTCAATTTACTCCTTAATTCGTTCGGTGTTTTTCGATATTCATCAAGACCATCGTTCCACTTGACCCTTTTGAGAACCTGGAGGTCGCCACCAAGAAGCCAGTCTCCAGATTCGTATATCATCTGAAATTAATCAAACTTTTTGTTGCACGTAGATCACGAGCGACAAAATAGCACTTTGCGCTCTTTATACATAGATTGGGTATAAGTGGCCGAAAAAGCAGGTATTATTGCTCGCAGTCTGGCATGCAAAGTCAGCGTTTTCCAATGACCAAGCGCAAAAGATAACTTGGTACTCTAGAGCAATAAAGTAGCAAAAACGCTAGCTACTGGTTGGCTGGGGTCGGACAAACAATAGAATGCCTTCATGTTGGCCGAATACCAAATATCACCATGGTATGAGATAATATACAATTATATTATAGCAAAAAGGTAAATCGTTGCGGTTGTAGAAGAAATGGTACGTATAATTTAAGAATCTGGCTTGCAGGTAAAAATAAGGAAAGGGGAAATAATGAGAGGAAGAAGAGAGGAAAAAGGGGAGGATAGGAGGCAAGAAAGTAAAGGGAAAGGAGGGAAAAGAACATGAGAGAGGCGAGGGAAAATGAGAATGAAGTTGTATCATCTGATATGAGCTCAAACGGCTTGACAATACCCCCTGGAAGTAGACAACTACACTACTTGCCCCCCCCAAATTCTTGATGCTGGATCCGCACCCTGGCAAGAAATTAAACCAAATTATCATTTCAATACATACCTTGATATGAGGATGATCCCTGTTAGTTGTACCAAACTGCCTAGCACATCGTTCCTCTTTTCTATGGTAATATATCTGAGGTTCCCTCAAAATTGCATAGAGGTCGTTTTTGTGATATAGCCCAATCGACTTGACACCTGCAAATCTCTCTTTGTCTTCTGTACTTATCGGTAACACAATGGCCACACTTTGGTTGATCCTATCGTCATCTTTTTTTATCGTGTTGAAATGTAATACCTAAAAATATCCATGAAAGAATTTTGTTAAATTCACACAGAAAGAGGATGAATAAAAAATGTTCCGACTATATTTGAACTCTTGATTTTCGTGATTTTTGTTATTAAATATAGTAAGCGCCGCTTAGCATGTCGTGTAAAATCTAGACAGAAATACAGGGTGTTACAGAATGGTTTCCAGTGAAAGGGCAGATTCAGAACGGTAAGATATTGAAAAAGTCCATATAGTCAAAATAACGAAAGATGACTATTAAGTCAGATCATAAATTGTACCGAAGTAATCAATGGACGCACGTCGATGATAAAATCACGATGTCAGAGACATAATGACAACAATTTTATATTATGATTTTGCGAAGTTAGGTTATTTCACTGATTATTTTTATTTTCATTTTATTTCATGGTTTTGAGTGATAATAATAATAATAATAATAATAAATTGCTTTTATTGCTCATGTAAGTACAGAAAAAGAAAAAGTACATAAATTTAATGCAGTGAGCAAACGGCAAGGTTCGCTTGATTGACAACCATTAGTTGTCAATCCGCGCTCTTCCACCTAACCAAAAAAAAAAAATGAATAAAGTAGTATATCAGTAATAATAATAACAGCAAGAGAAAATTTGAACGTTAACACAGATACATATAGACATATTATGTTTTAAAACTATATATTATATTATACATCCATAGATGACATATAACTGTTGCAGGCACCTTGGTAAAACCTATAATATAAAACGAGTTGATGCTTGAATGAGATTGCTAGAAGTTGTAGCTAATATCTTATGAAGGGAAAATGTCAAAGATCAAACGAAAAAGACTCCTTGACTTTGTCTGGTTTCTGGGCAACCAGGACTGACAGATTCGAATAACGTACATCAGACAGCGAGTAATGGGCAAAGGTCCTACGGACCGCCCAGACAAATAAATGACGAATAGTACGAAAAAGACATACAGAAGAATAATAGGCAAATCAGCGTGCAGTGTTAAATTTAAGTCATCTCAAGTCTCAACATAGTCTTCACTTCTCGCTTAAATCTCAAAATTGATAGGGCTTTAATTCTATCAGGCAGCGAGTTGTAAACCTTAACAATGTCATATGAAAAAGAGCACTTATAATTTGAAGTTTTAAATTTAGGTAGTGAGAGATGATGTTTAAACCTCGTGTTACGACTATGCACTTCTGTACGGGTCTTGATCTTCTTGTAAAGATAGGATGGTGATTCAGTATTGAGTATCTTGTGGTATAGTACGGATCGATGAAGGAACCTTCTTTTCTCTATATTGAGCCAACCTAAGTTCTTTAAATGAAGAGATATCGGCTGCCGCCTTCTAATACCACTAACAAACCTGACACAAGAATTTTGAATACGCTGAAGGCGCGCCTTATCTCGATGTAGCAATGACGGGCCGTACGCGCAGTCTGCATAGCTGAGGTGAGAAAGAACTAAAGACTCGCACAATATTATTTTTGTTGTCTTGGTTATTATGCTTCTGCTATTGTATAGCAGTTTCAATGATGAAAATGCCCTTTTGGTTATAAGAGAGACATGCTGGGAAAAGCGTAGATCTGTATCCATAATAACCCCTAAATTTTTAGCGGAGTTTGTAAAAGTTATTTTGTCTTGTCCGAAATAAATGTCTAAATTATTGGAGTATAGTTCACGATTCTTGTTTTTACCAAATAGTAGAGCCTTAGATTTAGTGGCGTTGACGGAGAGACAATATTTTTTTGTTAGCTGATAAAGAACCTGAAGGTCCTCATTTATGTTACTTAAAGTTCGGTTTATATCTGATTCATTAAAAGCAATATATAATTGAGTGTCATCGGCGTAATAGTGATATGAGACGTGTTTAAAACTTTTGTGCAGCTGAGAGGTATACAGAGTGTACAAGAGTGGACCTACAACAGATCCTTGAGGTACACCTCGACAAACTTTAGACAATTCGGATGTTTCACCAAAGCATTTGACAACTTGTGCCCGATCTTTGAGATAATTTCTTAATAAATGAACCGCACTTTTAGAAAAACCCAAGTAGTGAAGAACAGCAATCAGTAGCCTTAATAATAATTTTAGTGGGGAGTTTTTGTTTAAAAAAAAACATGAGTAGAATACCTTAAGACAGGAACACCAAAGACCAAAGTATTATTCGAAAACAACCTAACCTGCTATAACATAACCTAACTACAGTGGACCTCCGGTAATCCGACAAACATTATGCAGGGTAGTGTCGGACTATCGAATTTGTCGGATTATAGAGCACTGTCTAAGACCCCCTATAGTCCGGAATTTTTTACAAAAGAGTACCTTGTAATCCGACAAATTACATATCCAATGGTAAGATTATATATGTTATGCATATGTATGTACTTTGAAGTACAAATCATACATAGTTTATGTTTGTCGAATTTAGTAAATTAAATAACAATAGAGAGCTTACGTTTTATTATAAAATTAAGCATAAATGCATATGTACCAAAGTAATCAAGAATTATTAATCAAAATCATTAATGAATTTATCAAATAATGAAGCTTGGAAACACTCATCATTTTTTTTTGTTTAAGGCTGTTATAACGCGAGATCAGAGGTTTGTCCCTCAGTCTTCTCAAAAGTAAAAGTTCGTTGTAGGATGTACCATTCTCTTTAGCCCATTGTAAACCTAGCTGAAAAGCGTTAATGGCGTCTTGTGCTGTGACTTGTGGAGCAGTTGCAATCACGTCGTTGTTATTTTCCTGATTGTTTGTTGTACAATTAGAAACCTCTTTTATAATCTCTTCGTCAGACATTTAATGAAAAACATTTTCCTCTTTATACATTCCACGGCACCAGATTTCCAAATCTTCCGGACTTATCTGTGTTTCAGTAGCGACTTGTTCTCTAACTTCCGAAGTAACACTGATTTGTGGAACGTTACTAGGGGAGTGGCGACTATATCTGGCCATAACTTTTTCCAAGACGATTTAATAGTTGATGACGGTAACGCATTCCACGACTGACAAAGAGCAAAAACCAAGTCTTTCATATTAAATTCTTTTAAAGTTTTTTCTATTGGTTGATACGGCTCTCAGAAGTAGGTTTTTCTTATAGTCTTGCTCGACAAATTGAATGATATTCTGGTCCATTGGTTGAATCAGTGCAGTGCAATTTGGCGGAAGAAACATCGCAGTGATGCATTTATCCTCAGTTGTTAGTTCTTCTTCAGACGGATGACCGGGAGCGTTATCAAGAAGCAACAACGCTTTTTGAAGAAAATGCCATTTTCTAACTTCAGGTATGAAGCATTCATCAAACCACTATTTGAAAAGGTCTTTTGTTATCCATGCACTTTTTTGTCCGTAATAGTGTACAGGTAAATCAATGTTTTTGAATGCCCGTGGTTTATTAGATTTCCCAATGACCATCATCTTAAGCGCGAGTGTGCCCGCAGCGTTAGCACATGGTAGTATGGTTACACGCTCTTTACTTACTTTTCATCCAGGTACGGATGTTTCGTTACGAGACTCGAAAGTTTTGTTAGGCATCACACGCCAAAAAAGCCCTTTTTCGTTTGCATTGTACACCTGTGACGGGTCAAGATTTAAATCGTTCACCTTTTGCAAAAATCTTAATTCAAAGGGCTCTATGCAGGTGGCATCGTTGGAAAGTTTCTCTCCTGTAATAGTCATTAAACGTATGCCATGGAGGCTTTTAAAATGTTCTAGCCATCCTTTGCTGGCCACACAATCATCTTTTTTTGTTATTTCCTTATAAAAAAACTTAGCTTTCATGGCCAACATGGGTCCTGAAATTGGTACATGCCTATTTCTTTCCTGAAGAAACCACATGTACAAAGTTTCTTCCACTTCTGGATGTTCAGCTTTCTTGAGTGTCTGTCTCTTGCCTGGCCCGCAGACAGTAGTTCACGAACTTCTTGATCTTCTCGTGGTTTCTTTTAATGTCATAAATTGTAGATCAGCCTACGCCGTATTCACTTGCTAAACTACTGAAAATTTCATTGCGATTTAAAATATCACATTTTTTAATTGTCAATGTTTTGTGCTTTCGCTTCTGAGTTTGTGATGACATTACTAGGAACTATACTTAATACTCAATAAATAAATAGTAAACAATGAACGCACGCTAGGCCGTACCGCTATCACCAATAGTCAAATTCAGCCTAAGTAAGACAATGCTTACGCGTCGAGCACGATAGCGGTGGCGCGTACAAGTTGTAACCTGTTCAAGCCTGCGTGATCTACATTAGCGAAGATTGTCAAATATGTATGTATGTAATATTCAAAGACATGTCGGATTACAGGGGGCGCCGGAATAGCCTGGGGCCGGATTATCGGGGGTCCACTGTATTCATCTTTCAAATATGATCGATCATGCAACATGAAAATATCGCCTATCTTTGTCGGATTATGCAAATTAGCAATACAGTTTGTTTAGACAATAAAATTCTGTTTGTCTCTGTCTAACATATCTGAAACTTCATTAAAAGTATTCGCTGTCGTTAGTCTTTGCTACAGACTAAAATGATGACGTAATCGTCATCTTTCGTGATTTCGACTATATAAACATAGAGAAGCCTTGTTTCCTTAATACGGGGTGTTTGAACTGTCCGTCTTTGATAGTAGACTTTATATTTCTCGAAAAAAGTTTCGAAGGTCACATTGACATTTACAAAAATTGTCTTTTGAAGCACTTTATGTGTAGAGATCGTGCCGAAAAGTCTTTGTTTATCGAAAAAACAGTACGCTACTACTTTTTTTAAATAAGTATCAGTACCTTCAAGCCAGATTAATTACAAATGGCCACTTGAAGTTTTTTGTTTAGCCGCATCCGACCCATTGTTTAAAAGAACTGTTTTAAAATGTTCGTGCTAGTCTTCCCTTAAACTTTCCTGAAAACATTTTGTAACACCCCAGAAGTCGACGTCAAGCCGGAAATGGGGGGTAAGCCAAGTCATAATAGTTATCGGAAGAATATACAAAACTAAGTCGTGTACTTTTTAAATTATAGGCTTAAAAGACAACGGAAAAATTTACAGCCTGTTTCATTCTACTGAGTGACAGTGAGACAGATGGTAACGCCACTTTTATTAATTCGTAAATGCTCCCAGTAAAAAAATCGACTGGATTTAAATCGGGCCACGAAATTGTACCAGACCGCCCTATTCAACTGCTCGGGTATTCCGCATCAAGATATTATCCAACTAAATCTAGAACAGTTCAATAGTTATTTTAGGAGAATTGATTTGTTAATACCTGTAAAAACTCGTCTTCTCTCATGAACCCTTTTAGTGGGTAGGCCCAACCTTCGCTCAATATTTGTAACCACTGGAGGTCCACCGTTCCGATTTCGAGTTTTGGTAAGTTCTCTGCTTCATTCACCAAATCTTTTACTTTATGGTCCGGCACAAATAGCTCCGGTACCACTAGGTCGTTAGTACCATCAAATTGGGATGCGTAACCATTCAGGTGGTTGTTGTTCTCCATTGCGAACTTTGAGAATATCCCCTAGAAAAATTGCAATCCTAACAAATGGCGTCAAGTTGACTATACTTCCCACGCAATTCTGGACTGATGGATATTCATTGTAAGTATGTTTTAACGTATGTCCTAAAAGTTTTGGCACAACATTCATTGGTTCTAATTTTAACAAACACAGAATAATATCAAGTTGCGTTTGGAAGCAAAAGTTTGTTTACTGTCAGATGACATTTAGTTATTTTGAAGTTTCTGGCTATACAAACCCTGCTTATACCTGGTCATGTAATATAAAAAAATATAATTGGAGAGAAAGGATTTGAGTTCATTTTTTTTAAATAATTGTTTATTTGCTTTAGAAAAAGGTACTTCAAAATTGGTGAGATCCTTCATTCCACATACTTTCTTCATATTCCCCGCAGAATGGTGAATGTGTATTTATTATCCCACATCTCAATTGTTACGGCCCTGATGTTGTCACCCTATCTGATTACAGTGGAATCCACTTATAATGAACTTGCTTATAATGGAAACCCGTATATAATGGACACAATTTAAGGTCCTATAAATAATTGCATGTAAAATCCTCGGATATTATAGACTGGCTTAAAATAGACCCTCGCTTGTATCGGGCTATTTTAATCCATTACATGCGAGCTATTTTGGTAGTTTCCCGAAGCAGATTTAGCTGATGCAATCGTTTACGGTCGTTTGGCATCGCAGTTTGCATTCGAACCTGGCCATCAGTGTTATAATGTATACTAAGTTACTTATGAATCCGAACACCCAATTTAAATGGTTTTATTTTAATAAAAGTTGGTGAATGTATTTATCTTACTGTAAATAACAAGTGAAAAAATTTTCAGCCTTATCAGTTGGACATTCCGGTTTTTATACTGCTTTTTTTTAATTCACTAACGCTCTAAAAATGAATATTTCAGCCGCAGTAAAGAATCAACGTTGGCGGATTTTGGTTCTTGACATCCTTTACGATCGGTTACGATGCCTAGAGTACGGAGACCTGTACGATTTCGTCAACTTAGTGAGTTTGATAGGGGCCGTATAGTGGGACTTCGGGAAGCTGGACTTTCTTTTCGGGCAATTGCAGTTAGAGTGCAAAGAAGTGTAGACACTGTGGTTAGGTGTTGTCAGGCATGGCTTGGAGAAGGCCGTTACGCAAAGAGCAAGGGGCACTGAACGCCGCCGTAGAACAACAGACCGTAAAGATCGCCGCCTAAGACTATTGGCCTTAAGGGAGCGTTTCTCCACTACCAGGTCCATTGCAAATGAATGGTTTGCAGAACACGGAAGACCTATTGGCATGCGAAGTGTTTACCGACGAATGAGAAGTTTTGGCTTGTTTTCATACCGGCCACATTGGGTCCTCCCTTTAACTCGAGAACACCGACGTAATCGCCTTGAGTGGTGCAGACAACGGTCACTCTGGGATCAGGAATGGAACAGTATTGTCTTTAGTGACGAGTCTCGATTTTGTTTAGGCATGCACGATGGTCGTGGCAGGGTTAGAAGGCGACGTGGTGAAAGGAGGAATCCACAGTTTTTTGTTGAAAGACATGTTCATCACACTGTTGGAGTTATGGTTTGGGGTGCTATAGATTATGGTTCCAGGTCACCTTTAATCTTCATCAGAGCTAACATGAACGCGCAGCATTATATCCACGAAGTTCTAGAACCCTATCTTTTACCCTATCTTGACACCCTGGCAGATCCAACTTTCCAACAAGATAATGCCCGACCACATGTTGCAAGAGTCACAATAGACTTCTTTCAACATAATGATGTCACATTGTTACCATGGCCACCAAGATCTTCAGACTTATCCCCAATTGAGCACGTGTGGGATATGATGGGTAGGAGATTGCTCAATTTGCAACGTCCTCCTCAGACTCTAGAAGCACTTCGAGAGGAGTTGGTGGTTGCCTGGAATGAGATACCACAGGAGGACATTGACCACCTGATCAGAAGCATGCCTAGGCGCGTTGGAGAATGCGTAGCACATCAGGGTGCATCCACACATTATTAAAGGTCAAAGGGCTTTAAAGCAGTGCAATCATTTTGAAATTTTTATCATTTACTTATTATGCTTCATTAAGTACTTATACAAAATTTTATTAAAATAAAACCATTTAAACTGGGTGTTCGGATTTATATGTCACTTTGTATATTTATTAGAGTTATAAACATGTCAAAAAGTGCGAAACGTGCATTCACTTTACACGAAAAGTTCACAATAATTAGTGAGCTTGAGCAGGGTTCATCTCAAGCAAATATATGTGCTCGTATGGCAATAAAAAAATCCACTATGTCAAATTTTTGGTAATCCCTGACAAAATTAAAAATGACTGGAAATAGTCAAAAGAAAAAATGCGGCTATCGCTGCATCCCCAAGTCGATGGTATGCTGTTTAAATGGTTTCAACAAAAGCGTGCTAATAATTTTCCAATAAGTGGACCTGTGAGGTAAATAAAGGCTGAAAAATTTTGGAATTTATTGGAGATTATTTCAAATGTAGTTCCGGTTGGCTAGACAGGTTTAAGAAAAGACATAACATTATTTTTGGAAAAAATTCCGACTTTCTTCAGTTGACAAGAACGTTACCAATGCCTGGATTTCTCAAGTTTGGCCCGCAATATCCAGTGATTATTCAGAGGATACGAGGGATGTCTTTTAAGTTTTCCATATGGAAATAAAACACACTTATTCCACTCGTTTGCTGGCAGATCCAAAACGGCATTTTTGAATGCGTCAACTGCTTCTTCTGGTGACTGGAACCTTTGACCACGCAGTCTGTTTTTAATTTTCGGGAAAGTAAAGAAATCGTTAGGACTTAGATCGGGACCATATGGAGGATGGTCCAATAATTCCACGTTTTCTTCCGTTAAATGCTGCCTTGTTTTTTGGGCTGTGTGCGAGCTTGCATTGTCTTGGTGGAGGATAATTCTTCTTCGGGGTTGATTTTTCGAAGCTCGGTGATGACTTAACAGTTCTTTGCTCATTAAGAGGAATTGTTGCAATATGACCCGCTTTTGACACAAATGTCGCGACCATCTTTTTCGAAACACTTCGAGAACGGATGGCTTTTGTTGGCTTTTCTTCACCTTGGAACACCCAAACATCCGACTGTCGTTTATTTTCTGGTTCATAACAGTAAATCCACGATTCATCACCACTAACAATGCTATACACATTTTTTGAGTTTCCGGAATTGAAACGGTCAAGCATTTTTTGACACCAATTAACCCTGCCTGCTGTCTGCTCTTCAGTCAACAAGGTGGGGTATCCAACGAGAAACTAATTTTCTTACTCCTAATTCTTCATGTAAAATTTTTTGAATTGAGGTCTTTTAGATCTTCAAAGACGCCTCAATCTCGCGATATGTCACATGTCTATCTTCAAAGATAAGTTTGCACACAGCATCGACGTTTTCCTGGGTGACTACCGTTTTTGGTGCATCCATCCTGGGATCGTCGCTAAGACTCACCCGTCCACGTTTGAATTCTCCATACCAACGGGAAATTGTCGACTGATGTGGCGCTTCGTTGCCGAAAACAGACAGTAACTCAGCAAGGCATTCTTGTTGCGATAATTGTCTTTGAAAGTTGTAATAAATTATGGCGCGAAAAAGTTCTCGGTGAGTTCCATTTTTTCTAATGACTTGGTGACACTTAAAAATTCACTGTAGCGAGAACACTGCACGTATTGTTGTGAAACTTTGAATTATTTAAGTTTACTAAAGAGTGAGGTTAAGATTCTGTACTGACGTTCGATCCGCGCGGCCTACTATGTTTCTATATGCAAAACTTAAAAGACATCCCTCGTAACATATTCAATGCAGATGAAACCGGGATATTTTATAGAATGCTAGCAGATAAAACTCATAAATTAAATGGTGAAACTTACAATGGAGGTAGACTATCAAAAGAGCGAATAACTGTTATGATTTGTGTTAATGCTTCTGGTCCTGAAAAACGGAAACTCACTGGACAACAAATTTTAGTTTTTTAATTGTATCTTGTGGGAAAAGTGCACTTCTTTGTTAATTTTGGGGCGCCGAATCCAAAAATGACAATGAAATAAAAAAATTAGTTGCGGTTTAGAAAAAAAACTTTTTATTTTTAAGGATATATTAAAAAAAGTAACAAGACTCATATACTTATAAGAATCACTATATGCGCTGTCTTTTTGCTGTTCTTTTATGGATCGTTTCTGCAGCATCTCTACCAAGAGTCCAACAGTAGTCTGCAAGCATGGAAGGATTCCACTTTCCCTGGTACCTTTTTTCCATTGTTGAAATATCCTGATGAAAACGTTCGCCGTGCTCATCACTTTCGGCTCCGCAATTGTCAGGAAAAAGTCCAGGTGTGAGTGTAGGAAATGTATCCTAAGATACATATTACAGCCCATCTTTTGATACGATGACAGCATATTTTTGACAAGGGTTTATAGTTGTCAGCTTTCCTATTTCCCAAGAAATTAGTGACCACCAGACGGAAATCATTCCAAGCAGTTTTTTCAATACCTGTTAAAGTGTTTTCAAACTGTGTATCTTTCAAAATATTTCGAATCTGTGGCCCAACAAAAATACCTTCTTTAACCTTTGCCTCACTTAGTCTTGGAAATTTCTGACGCAGGTATTGAAAAGCTGACCCATCTCTATCTAATGCCTTGACAAAGTTTTTCGTTAGGCCCAACTTGATATGCAGTGGTGGTAATAAATTTTTTTTCGAATCTACTAATGGCATATGCTGTACATTTTTTTGACCTGGCTCTAGGAACTGACGAACAGGCCAGTTTTGTCTGGTGTAATGAAGTGCCTTTGCCCGACTGTCCCATTCACACAAAAAACAGCAAAACTTTGTGTAGCCTAGCTGCAGCCCAAGTAAAAGTGCAACAACTTTCAAATCGCCACAAATATGCCATTGGTGCTCATCGTATTTTATGCATGTCAATAGGTACTTCATATTGTCATATGATTCTTTCATGTGAACTGCATACCCTACAGGAAGAGA